TTTTTTTTTATCATTCCATTCATAATACTTTCTACATTAGCATTGCATAGGCGCTGGTTGAGACACTAAAAAGAAAATTGCCATATTTTTTTAACATTTTATTACAAATTTATTTATCAACGCATACTTTAATTTAAATTTTAATTCACTTAAATATTTCTTTAGATTTATGCATTTTATTTTTTATTGCAAAACGAAACGATTTATAGCATACATAGCGTACATTTACTTCATTTTAGTTATTTATTTCGCAAGTAAGCATGTCTTTCGTTAAAAAATTACCCGAACAATTCTTTAATATGCCACTAATACGCTGTTCTCTTCTATAATTACAAAAATCAACTCAACTACAACGTAAATGTAACTGTTCAGCTCCACCGGATCGAATATGTTCATAGTCGGCACTTAATATATAGGGATGTAAAGCCGGAGAATTTTCTCATAGGCAGAACATCAACGAGACGGGAAAAAATTATACACATAATTGGTAAGTATGAAATGTATTTGCATATATTCGTAAGATTTAGAGAAAAACCTGAGATGTGTATAAGAGACAGCCTTTATTTTTTATTTTTTTTTTTATTTTTTTTTTATTTTTTTTTTATATATTTTTTTAATATTCTTATTTGTGAGAACCATCAAATCCTTATGTACTAACACCAAAGCTTTTGGACGCCTAACCTTTATATACATACATACATACAATTTTACACGTTAACAACGTTTTTGCTGTAAATATTAGCAACAGTTTATTAAACAGTTTATTTACAACAACAAAATATTATTTTTCAATAAATAAACGCGCTGTGAAGCCGTCATAGCAAGTGCTGCCACTTCGTGCGTATTGAAATCGAACTCAAAAAGTCGCAAATCGTTCAAACGATTAGCAGCCAACACCAAGAATTATTAAATAAATCTTCAAAATTTTACTAAAAAATTCGTTTATATTCGAAAATAAAATTTTTCAATTAATTTTTTTTTAGTGCATATAATTTTTCGAAGCCAGAATTTTCACTTCCTTTTTTGAATTATTATTTTGTATTAATATAATGACATCAATCCCACATCAACAATACATAAAATTTTTGTGTTGCCAATTCTTAAACAAAATATATATTTTACTTCAATTTGTTGTATTTTTTTTTTTTTGTACAATAAAAAAGTTTAAAGTGTGCTATTCTTGAATTGTTATAATTATAGCAGAGGGTGTACCCGAAGTATATTACTTCGGGCCATGCGGCAAGTACAATGCACTTGTTATGGAATTGCTCGGTCCATCACTTGAAGATTTATTTGATATATGCGGCAGACGATTCACTTTGAAGACAGTACTACTGATAGCTATACAATTAGTAAGTACACAACAACAATTTAATAAACAAAAAAAAAAAAAAAAAAAAAAAAAAAAAAAAAAAAAAAAAAAAAAAAAAAAAAAACTAAATACCAATGAACAGTACAAAAAAAGCTAAAATCAGCATAACCAAAACCCATTTAGAACGCTAAAACTAAAAAATAGGCAAACTAGAGTCTCACAAAATCGCATTACATTCGAAATAGTTTTAAATAACTAGTTTACAAATGGTTTTTAATGGTTTTTCTGCGCTAATATAACACACTATTATTACTAAATATTTCGAATATTTCGTTTTGTAATGTAAATCGAACGTCTTTATTACCCACTACCACCATTACTAGCACCAATACTCTGCTACCAACAACACAAAATTCACCCTTTTTCGTATGTCTTTGCTAATAGTTTTACGCCTCGCTTATTTTAATACCTAAGTTGATCACTTATTTATGTATTTATGCCATAATTACTAAAAACAAAATTATAGCAAATCAAATTTAAATAAATTGTTATGCGTACAACAGCAAATTAAAAGCACACTTTTAGGTGTAGTGCCCCTTTTCCAATTCGTGTCAGCGTTTTTTTGTGCGTTTGTATGTGTCGGTAGGTGCGTGTTCGTGTGCATGGGATCGTGTAAACGGTTTGTGGCTTGGCTAGGGGATGGCGGTTTAACACTCTGCTAACAGAGCGGTTGTRGTCTGCACTAGCTGACGGAATGGTGGACCTAGAATTATTTTTATATTTTATCCTATTTTGCAAAATAAAAGAATAGCACCATTATATTTATATTTATTTATTTATTTTTTCAAAGTAACTATTTTCAAAATAGAAATAAAGATTTGAAAATTATTATTTCATTTGTATAATATTAGTGGAAAAAACGCTGGTTAAATGCACTTGATGTAGCGTTGTTTTATGCCTCTAGAATTTAGCATATTTTTGCATGCTTAATTAGCTAATTAGTTAAAATATATTTGAAATTTACGTAATTGATTTTGAGTTAAAAAAAACTTGGCTGTTAAGTTGCGTGTTTCACTTTTTTTTCCTAAATGTTAAATTTTCTTTTAATATTGTGTCCCCAAATATCTGTAGTTCCTTTTTACCGGGCACAAATATTGTAAACACAATTATTTACCGTTATGAAAATTTAGTTTTTATTTTTTTTAAGCTCGTTAACATATTTTATTTTTGYAAAGCCCGTTGACCATCTTGCATTAAGAAATTAAAAAGCTAATATAACAAAATGAATTTTTTTATCATTTTTTGTTTTAAAAAAGTTA